TCATTTTTATTTTTTTTCAAATTGTTGCCCCACTTCAACAACTAAGAGAGAACGGGTTTGACGCCTTGACACACTCATACCGCCTGGCACGCCCCTTCGTCCGCAGCGAACTAGAGTATACATGCGACTAAATCCCTCCTGATAGTGGATTATTATTCGTAGATGATCGAAACACTGCTTACAAGGGAGGTCTTTCAGGTCGTGGCGCGCTTTTTGGAAATGGTTTGTTGCTTGTTGTAGGGGTCCATACAAGGATCACAAAAATGGGTTTCATTTTTGCTATGCGTTTCTGGGTAGGTCAAAAACTGAGTGAAAAGAATTTGACAAGAATGGGCGGTTTTAACAACCTTAATGGGCTCCGTTCTGCTTGTAACTTCGAGCATGCATAGTTTATGAGGTGGTCACTAATTAGGCCTCAAAATAGATTCGATTAAAGTCAAAATGTAAGTATCATGTGGTAACACACTTGGCATGCACCGACGCAAGAGTGATGTTTTTGTCAGCGCTCCCTTCATGACCATTGCTGGCGGATCGGATGGCGTAGCGGATAGCACGATGGATTCTGGATGGCACGACAATGCGGGACTCGGTTCGGATCCTCATTGCGGCAACAGTTTTGCATCTGTATCAACGCAACGAGACGAGAACATTTCCGGAAACAAGGTTCTCCACACAAGTGTGCTGGTTTGTAAGGTGTCATCCAGGAAAGGCCAACAGGACAACCTGGCCATTTGCAGTGAGTGCATATCATTGTACTCGTCTTGACACAGTGAACTCGAAACTACCTTCAAAATTTGCGGAACGATTCTCTGAGCGGAGTTATGGAGGTTTTCCTTCACTGTTTTTCTTCTTGCGGGTGGGCTGGCGCAGTGAATTTGCACCTGTAGCGCGACTCACAGCTCTCTCCGTGCGAAATAGATATCATATTCGTGTTCAGGGGGTCAAACAACCCCTAGAAACGCCACCTTGAGGAAATCCGAGGTTCTGACTCAACTTCGAAAAAATGGGGTAGAGATGGTCACGCCTGGATGATAGCCAATACTCCGACTAGCATACTGGTGATGACTGGTCTTTGCACTGAAATAACCCTTCAGTCATGTCTTTTCGCAAAGAACAATACCTGGCTCACTTGTTCGTGCCGCCTGCATCATTTTCCTGATTACCGGTAGAAAATTCCATCCCAAGACCAGTCATCCATGGTGGGTGGACCCCAGCCTGCTGCTAATTGTCCATAGAATGGCCCACATTTTCCAAGTTAGGTCGAAACGTCAGATTTGGCTAGAAATTAGTCCCCAGGGGTAATCCAACCCGCTGAACATAAATGTGATGGTATTTCATTGCAATAACCCTTCTGACATGAGCTACGAGGGGCAGCACAAGCACGCTTTCAGGCCACAATGTGGCCACAAGTATATGCCTTCAAATGGCATATACTTGACTTATTTCCACTGCCAGACACACAGGCACGCGAATGAATGGAAAGCTGAAAAATGCAAAACATTTTCCGCGAGGAGGATCCGATCCATAAAGTCCAAACATCCCATGCCTACAGAACCCGTCGTGTTATCCACTGCGCCATCCGATCCGTTTGCAGTGGTCGTGAAGGGAGCGCTGACAAAAACATCACTCTTGCGTCGGTGCATGCCAAGTGTGTTACCACATGATACTACATTTTGATATCTTAATATGGTGCTGTCCCGGAGCCTCATTGTAATCTGAACATGAAACACGTGAAAGAGGCGCCAAAAAATTTATTGCAAAAAACTCAAAAGACTCAAAAGAATCCAAAAGTTCTTGCAAAAATTTTTGTTTCTAATACTTCCTTCGAATATTTCGGTGCCTAGCACCTTCCTCAGCGATCTGAAATACTATAGTTAGTCGTCTGCAACCCGAATCCCGGATCTTGTCTTCAGTGGTGCCCGAACTGGACTCTGACCTGGTCTTCTGCCTCCAATATAGCCTCCGCCGCTCCTTGCAAAAGTGCGACTTCTAGTGTTGACTGCGACCCTACCCGTCATCCTCCCTTAAATAGTGAGGATGCCTGGTGAGCGCTCTGCATATGATATCACTGACCGCTCAACCATTATCACGTAGTCAGTGAATCAACTGCAGCGCGTCACGTAGCTCATCCCTACTATTCATTTCCGGAGAGAGCCTTTTTATTTCCAGTGCTTCTAATAGTTTTCTTTCCACTGTATTTTCTATGGAACGGTGTAATACTGTAATGGTGATTGCGGGAGGACCTTCGTGTATATGCATTTGGTGCGGTGCTTCGAGAGACTGTTATCCGGGTATGAAGCTGGATTGTTTAGGGCCCTGCGGTGTTCATCTAATCGTTTGAAGAGTGGCCTCTTTGTCTCTCCGATGTATTTTTGCCCGCATCCCTGGCATTCTATCAAATATACCGTTCCTCGGAGTTGGCATATTTTTCTATCATTACAGTATGTGCAGTTCCCTCGTCCACATTTTTCTTCATAAGGCCTGGAGTACGTTAGTAGTCTTTTTAGATTTGGCGGTGGACGAAATATGAGCTGTATGGGGAGTGGTGAGCTTTTGACTCGCAGAATATATTACTGCACGCCAGAAGTTGCCACCCCTCATATATGAAAGCGAACGTAGA